ATTGAAGAGCAATTAGTTTACCCTATCGCATTAGAGAGCTTACCCAGATGGATGTTGAGGAATCAGTTTACCCTCTCATACTGGAGAGCAATTAGTTTACCTTATCGCATTGGACATCTTACCTAGATAGGTGTCGGAGTATTAGTTTACCCTCTCGTACTAAAGAGCATACCCAGATGTGTGTCAGGGAATTGGTTTACTTTCTCGCACTAGAGAGCAATTAGTTTACCCTCTCACACTAGAGAGCTTCCCTATATAGGTGTCGGGGGATTGCTTTACCCTTTCGCACTGGAGAGCAAAGAAGTTGTTGTCATGAGCGCAACTGAGGAAACCTGGACTGCTAGACAACTGAAATAATCTTCAGCTTGTGAGCTCTTGTTTAGCGATCTACTTGAGACTTTGAACTCTTTGTGGAACTTGCGTAAGGGTATACATGGGAGCGCAATGAACTACTTCCGAACCTTATTGCGCCATCCTTTGATGTTTTGTTGCATGCTCTCTTGAGGCTTGGTTGGTGATCAGCTGAGAATCTAAATGGATTGCAGGCTTTATCACTACTAATTCTTTTGCTAGAAGAGGCTGTTAATAAAGCCTCGTAATCTGCTCCATCTTTGGATGCTTTGATGTTTAAAGTGTTGTGAGCTTAGTCGGCGCAGATAGGAACAATATGGCAACATCCGCACGGTTATGAGCCGTGGTGCAAGGTCGGTGCAGCTAGGAGCCGTGCTGTGAGATCGGTATAGCTAGGAGCCATGGTGATAGATCGAGGGCAGCCGAGAAACAAGGAGTAAGCAGGGATGGCTGTAGACACGGAACTAGGGCTGGCTTGAGCCAGGTTTTGCGCAGCATGAGGAATTGGACCATTGGGTCAGCGGTGCTTGCCTATTAGTGATAGGTTACTCTGGTAATGAATCATCTAAAGTGATGAAATAAGACCTGCCCCCTGGTTCTTGAAGGTTGGGCTGGTGTGTCCTTCTGGTACCCGTGTGCCCCCGATGCACCATTAGGTTAAGTTGTTGATTTGTTTGAACATAAGTAATCTTTGTATCCACCAATGTATGATGATGGTTCTGTTTGCTCGATCTTTGTTAATGAAAGGTGACCTGTTTATGTTGGTCATGTCTCATCGGACCACCTTGTCAGTGACTTCATTGTGCTAGAAGTCGCACGATCGTTTGGTTAGGAGCCTCTCCTCTTGTTCTTATTGAATCTGCCTTTATTGAGGGTAGCAAAGCTTTTAGTTGCCCCTAATCGTGACCTATTGGTCTAGGCTGCTCTTCCCTGTGCTTGGCTCTTCTATGTCGTGGCTGCGGTGCATGTAGTACATTCTTGGAAAATGAACGGGTTACTCGTAGGTTGTTGGTTGAACTTGAGCCAGATTGAGTGACTGCTTCTCTCCGTCCGTTGTGCTACCTACTTTGATGTGAGGTAAAGGGTGTTTTTTGCAAGCCAAGCCTCGAATGAACACTTTGCTTGGAAGGTTGCTCATGTTGGTTATCAGAATATGGCCCCAACAGTGAATATATGCTCGTCCGTTGGCCTAACCGAGAGCGCATGCTATCTCAGGGCCTAGTCGGAAGTGTACACTACCAGAACGCTTAGTTTATGATTGGTCAAAGGGTTGCTTACTAGGACATTGCTGGAGAGGTTCGTCGTCTACCCTTATCCTACTTCGGGACACCTCGCCTAGGGCACACTGCAAGAGCTGATTCACCAAGGTCGTCTGTTGTGCGAGGGCACTTGTTAACTCTATAACTTGTTGAGACAAATATTGTTCGCCATTTGGGATGGAAAAGCTTGGACGGTATGCATCTCCTTAAGTAGTGCCATTATAATGGACTTCAGGCATGAGATTTGAGTTGGGATATGTCAAATCTGCAAAAAAATAGGATGGAAATACCCCCAGTTCAATTGTCGGTCAAAATATATGAAGTCGGGATGGTTGAACCAATCTTGGACTGATTGGGATCGTTAGGTGGACAGCGAGAGCTGGTTGGGCCGCAGAAGTAGGTTAAGCCATGTCAGGGGTGTGTGCGTATGGTGCAACCTAACCTGCTTGGCCTTAGGGTGATGGTGCATTGGGCTCGCGCTGGCTTTGGGCCACGAGTGTTGAGCTGCTCCATTTGCCACAGCTGCAACTGCTTGAGCCGTGTTTTGGCACTCATCTGCTATGGTAGGGTCGTGGGCCTGCTGGATCTGGGTTGCCTCATGCTGGGTTAGCTGTCTTGTGGCATAAGCTTGAGCTTGTTACTGCAAGGTAGCAGCTACTATTGCTTCGTTGCCTTGCTGCTATGAAGTTGTCCCACTCTCCACTGCCATGGTCGTTGTCGTGGCTGCTGTGGTGATGGTACTCCGTGGTGGCAAAGTCTCCTTTTGCTGCCGTCTTAAGCTTCATGAATCGTCGTGGTCGGGCTACATCTCAATCTTCATCCTTTGATTTGTATCTTTGAACATACAAAGTTCCATTCGTTGTGGTTTTCGAACTTCTAGCCATTGTATTTTTCTCCTACGTCTATTCAAAGAATTAAAAAAAATTAGGAATAAGAATGTATGAAAAATTTACGTATAAATGAGAAATGAAAAACTTTGAATGTAAGAGTCTTATTCGAGCGTGTGAATCATACTCTCAATGAAAGCACCAATTTGTGGATGCAAATTGCCGCCATCTTCTCCTTTGACGAAAATGCTCCTGCAAAATAATAACACCTAAGATTAAGACCAAAAGCCTCATGCATCCACAATGAATGTGGGGGTCTTTGGCCGAAGAATCTTCGATGTCAAAGTTATATTTCTGAAAAAGATTGTCTTTAGGAGTTTGTGGGTAGCAAATGGATTAGCATTTTAGTGGGATAAGAGCGGTATTTATTTATAGGAAGGTGGCCGACCCTTAAGGTGGAGAGTGGCCAGCCATATATTGTGGTATTTGGAGAATAATTGCAAGATATTATGTGAAATAGTATCTTACAATTAATATGGCAATTATTTTTAAATTAAATAGGAAGTTTTGGTAGTTAGCTTTTGAATAAAATCAATAAGTGATTAATGAGGAGTGATGAGAGGGATTTGAATAAATACTATATTGATCACCTTTGACTCTTCCTTGATTGAGTTGTTATTGTCCGTTGCATGTGCGTGAGAATCTCGATGTGCCTCGAGGATAATCTTGTCTTTTTAACCTAAAAGTTCACGTGTCACCTCTATGATTTTTTGAATTATTTTTGACTCCACAACACCCCTAAACTAAAATTTTAAAAACTATCTATTTGCTTTGTGTACAATTTTTCGTTTCTTTTTTTTTTTCTTTTTTTTTTTTTTTTTCAATTTTGCACTGAACTAAATACAAACATAAATACCCCTACACTTATTCTTTTGTCAAACTCCTTCGTATGTACTTCACAAGCATTTCTCATAAGATAATCTCACATTGCTCACTAGTTAGCTTGAAAATGGGTAAGGAAAAGTTTATAAGGTATAAGGGCAAGACATATCTGATGATAAGAAATGAAAGACGTAACACATACGGCTCAAATTGGCAATCTAATGATATCATTCTTCAGGGAAAATGGTTATATGGGTTGTGGTTATGAACCTATTGCCTCTATCCTTTTCAAGTCCATGCAATCAAATGACAAACATTTTGAAAGATCTTTACACAAGTTCTAGAGATGTAATTCACATAAGTTCATCACACATTAAGGAATATGAGTGTATGAAAAATGCACACTTTCAATAGGCTCAAAAACTCACATAGGATTTATAATGTCACTATATTCACATTCAAAGCTTTAAGTCATGCTTTAGTTTCACATCAACGAGGCCATGTGCAATTGGTTTTTCAAAGATAATCAAACAGGTACAAAGCTAACAAGAGAATAAAGAATTTCATACAACACATGCTTACTAAATTCTTGATCACCATGGTTTGAATTCAATTCAATTATATCATTGGATCGGGAAACTAACGAAAATCTACTTCAAAACAATGAAGAAACAAATTAATATTTTTGGATTTTCAAATTTTCTAAATGTTTTTGTGTTTTTGTTAGAGTACTAAAAACAAAACAAACTAAGAAAAGAAAAAGAAACCACACTCACATAAATCAAACCAGTTTTTAATCGAATGTATGAAAATTTTCAATCTGGTCATATTTTTTTTCAATCATTCTTGCTCCATAATTAATAAGCCTCGTGGAATTAGTATGCCCTGAAGATTTGAAAGAGGGAGAGAGAGCACACTGAGGTTAACTGACGACGTAGAAGAGCGGTGGTCAACGACAGAGGTAGGAGAAATTATTTATTATGATAGGAATATGGATGGTAGACTATGTGTTTTTATATAAGTGGTAAGAAATTGTATTTTTTAAGTTATTAATTTTTTAGCACATATATTCCACTATTGGTATAGTAACATGTGGTGTACTACACATCTTCTAATCACACTGATGTTATTTAGTTTTTAATAGAATAAACTTGGTGTCAAATGTCAAGTGAATGGACACGTGTGAATACGAAAGTGCGCAGGAAGAGGAAATGTCAGCACAGGTGATCCGACCCTTTTCCCACCTATCTCTAGACCTGGCATTTTGAACCCGACCCGTTAATATTAATATTTGGATGAATGCTTAACGGGTCGGGTCGCTAATAGGTGAACCCGTTAACAACCCGTTAAATAACGGGTCACTTTGGGTCAACCCGTTAGACCTGTTAGCACCCGTTAGTTGTGATGTTTTAGTAATTTCAGTCAAGTCTTAACAACAAAAAATAAACTCTATGCAAAAAAAAAAATTAATAATAATTGTTAACGGGTGAAACGGGTAACTCGTTAGCTTAACGAGTCGGGTTTGGATAACCTGTTAGCTTAATGGACTGGGTTCAAATGGCCTGTAAACTTAACGGGTCGGATTAAACCCAATCCAAATCCAATAAACCAGACCCGTTTACGGGTCTACCCTCTCCTCTCTCTTCCCTTCTCTCTTGGCACAGCGTTCCGGATACGCCATTACACACACGCAACAAGGGAGACGGGAGAGACGTCAATGCCTCTCCATTCAACAAGAAGAAAGTCATGGACGAAAAGAACCAGAAAGAAAGATTAAAAAACAGAAAAAATTTGAAAAAAGCGTAATTTCTAATCAAGAAAAAGAATTCAGAGTTTAGGATTTAACGTCGTCCACCTACCCATCCAAACCATCCCATCCCATCCCATCAATCCTTACAATTACAAACGCTTTAAACGACTCCGTCACGTTTCATCACCTTCTCTTCTTTCCATCTAACCACCTATAACAGCAACCAATCTCAAACTGCCTAAATTATCCCCAATTTCTAGGGTTTCTGTGGGTTTTTGTTTTCCTTCTCAGAAACCCTAAGCAATTATTCAGGTCTGTTTCCCAATCCTTCCTCCCTTTTTTTTATTTTCAATGTTTGCTTGTGTTGCCAACCAAACCAAACAGAGGGTCTCTGTTTTTCTTTTCTTTTCTGTTTTTTATGCTTAATTTTGCTCATTGGACTTTTTAATGTTTTTACTGTTAATTTGCTTTACTACATGGATATAGCGAAAGACATGGCACAAAATTGAGCACAATGTACGTTTTTGGATTTATAGTAGTTAACTCCACTTAGTGGATTAAGGCTTTGTTGTTGTTGTTGTATTTATTGCGCTGATGGGCTATTTGGCTGCTTTGGCGTAGTAGGAAATTGTTGCTAACATAGTTTTGGTGGGGTGTAATCGAGCTCGTATACTGATGCTCTTTGCATTGTATTTACTAGTTGTTTTGTTGAGAGAATGAGGAGAGGGATGATCACTTTTTTCCTTACCAGCTTTACAGCTTTCTACGCTATGTTTTTATCTTCATGTTCCACAACCGCTGGGAACTGTTACCTGCAGATCAGTTTTCGCAGAGAGTAGATTAGTAGGTAAAACCAAATACACAATGGCCATAAGATTGCTCATGTTATGTTTTAGTTGCATATGTCTTCGCGTGTTGTTCATTGACCAAAGTTCGGAAATTATTTGTAATAGGGTCTCTGATGTGTCTGTGATCGGTGAGTGACAGAAAACGAGAGGATGTAATCACCAGACTGATCTGCACCGATATCCATATATACATGGCTATATATTGAGTTTTTCTACATTAGAATGTTTAAGGAAGTGTCAATGTATGAAAGGGAAATTCAAGGAACTAGAATGGCAATTGAAAGTATAAGTAACAAGCTAATACAATTGCTCTGGTAGAGGAAAGATGACCCATGGATTTTATACAAGATTGAACCGTCCGTAGAGTGGACTGTAAAAATCGTCATGATACATGGTACTTTGTTTTGAATGGAAGATGTATAGCATTATTACTGTAACAGGATATATATAGAGTACTCAAATTGTGGTGTGCTTGTTATCATCTGTGAGAGTGATTTTAGCTACAAATGTTATATAACAGTTCATGCTTCAAGTTTGGTTGGACTCCATTTTTCACGGAACTGTTATTACTATATGTGCTTTCATTCTGATAAATTCAATAAAAAAGGGTCGGAATTGACAAGATTTATGCATTTTCCTCCAGATTGCTTAAGCCTCTATCCTAGTCTCTGTATTTGTTATTTGAAAATTTCGGTAGTTCATTTCTTAGTGCTAAATATCTTAAAACAAACAATTTCCAAGTTAATTGACTTGCAATTTACTGTTTTCATAGTTCTTTGTTCTTAATTTTCTCGTCTTTGTTGAGATGTTGACCTGGATTACTAATACTAACTCAAATTAATCGTTATTTAAGTTAATTATGTGAGAGTAATGGTACAATGCTGAAAAGTATAATGCCATGTTGGTTCATTTTCATTTTTCAATGATGCTTCACATGCCGGACATGATATTCTGGTTCCTTGAAAGTATGGTGGATCGTATGAACTTTAATGTTTACTTTTTCAAGTATTATTTTGATGGTCATTTTCCATTTGTAAGTTAAAAGAAATTATTCATGGTGTGTTATTGGTTCATGCTAGAAAAGTATGTTTTTGTGCTTCCAGCAGATATTTACTTCTGTTTTGTGGCAATTTCAGCTGGGATTTTTCTATCTACTTACACCATGTCGAGCGTGGAGGAGCCACTTGGTTGTGACAAGTTGCCTAGCATGAGTACCATGGACCGGATTCAGAGGTTCTCATCCACTGCTTGCAGGTCTAGGTCAGATGATGCAGCGCTGGGGAACTGTTGGATCGAAGGAAGAAGTTGTAGCACATCGAATAGCTACAAGTAAGTAATTTGTGTTCTGATTTGTTTGTGGAACTCTCAGAATGTATATGTGTATCCATTTGGTATGCTTTCATGTTTGCAAAACACTCGAATCTGTCATATGCCTTTTATTTTATGTCCATGCATGCTTGTTCTGGTCGGACCATCAAGGGACATTGTTGGAATTGTCGGCGAGATCTTGCTTTCTCTTCCTTACCTTTCAGTTAAAGATCAAATTGATTTATCAATCTTCTCTTTCCATGTTTAAGTTCAATAAGTCGGTTCCTAATTGTTTCATGCCTTCATAGTAACGTAGTTCAGCTGCTTTGTACTACAATAATCTTCGAGTGATAATCTCACCTTAAACCTCTATTTATTTTCAGTGAAGATTATGATGAATATACAAGGGAGGCCTTTCCATGGAAAAGACATACAAGAGCCCAGGGCTTGTCCCATGGTGACTCATTCAATCAACGGACGTTAAGCGTACGCAGAAATCACAGGGTATTTGGAAATATTTGTGATTCATGGTATTTCTCGGATCAATATAACCCCAAGTGCAATAACACAGATATGGCAAATAAGGTGCTTCGATAACTTTAATTACATGATGATATATTTTCCGTTTGTTTTGACACTTTGTATGAGGATGTCGTGATTTCTTTGATTAACAGATAAAGTTTCATTTTTCTGTACTGATTTGTGCTTTGGAGGAAACAGTTTTTAAAAGGTATACCAAAGTTTGTGAAGATAGTAGAAGTAGGTCCAAGGGATGGACTACAAAATGAAAAGAATATTGTATCTGCATCTGTAAAGATTGAACTGATTCAGAGACTGGTATCTTCTGGGTTGTCTGTTGTTGAGGCAACAAGTTTTGTGTCTCCCAAATGGGTTCCTCAGGTAATTTACCTTTACTTGTTATTTAATTTTAATTGGTGACTTCAAATTTATCTTAGAAAGTGTGATTTTAATGGGAATAGCTATCTAATAAATATCTTAGAAAGTTCTAGGGTTTTCATGGCTTAACCTATAAGTCCCATGAAGCTTAATTAGATGACATTTTCTGAATCAAATTTTGGCAACTAAGCATTAATTTGTGATATGATAATGCGAGGTAAGTATCAGATTTTTATTTGTACAGACCTCCCCTGAGGTTCAGTGAATTACACAAACTTTCCTCTTTTCTTGAGAAAGTAGGCAAATTTACTTTGTCTTAATTCAATTCAAAGATATTTAAAATGTTTTGTAATTGTCAATTCACTCCCATTCCATTTTCGTTTCTATATAGTTAGCAGATGCAAAAGATGTAATGGAAGCAGTTCAAAGTCTGGAGGGTGCTAGATTGCCTGTACTGACACCCAATTTACAAGTGAGTGATCTTTAGAAGTACCGGACATTAGTCATGTTACCTATCTAACATATCACATCACTTTTTATAGGGTTTTGAAGCAGCTATTGCAGCAGGTGCTAAGGATATAGCGGTGTTTGCAGCAGCTTCTGAATCATTTTCAAAGTCAAACATTAATTGTAGCATTGAAGAAAGTCTTGTTCGTTATCGTGCTGTTACTCGTGCTGCAAAAGAGCTTTCAATTCCTGTACGAGGGTATGCTCTCTCTCTCTCTCTCTCTGATAAGAAGCAGACTTTATTAAATAAACTAAGCATGACAGCTACTTGAGAAAAAGATGGTTTATCAATATTATAGTGGGATTTACACAGATACTTTCTCAGCCTCCTCTCTCTCTCTCTCTCTCTCTCTCTCTCTCTTGCTCTCACTTCTCTCTCCTTGGATGCAAACAGAGGTTAGATCTCTGTGTTTGCATAAAACGAATGTTAAGTAGAGTGTACTACAGTTCCCCCTACTCTATGCTAGCATTCTCCTACATGATGTCTGGGTTAGATCTCTGTATTCTCTCTGATATGGCATGCTTCCTTTACAATTTGGCCTTATTAGTTTAACATATTCTGGAATCTGGCCTAACCCTTGCAGACCACAGATGAAAGTACAAGCTTGTCGTTGAACTAGCTAATTTGTATTTTCAACCTTCTGTCTCTCTTTGGTTTTCAACCCCTCGCATCATCTCTTTACTTTGAGACAATAACATAGCATGCAAACTTAAAAAGTATGTGAGGAAATAGTGATGGATTCTGTCTTTGAATCTTGTTTTGCATAGTTTTTTCTTGTTTCTCTTTATTTATGTAGGGTTTTATATTTTATCTTTTTTTCCTTTGAGGGAAGGGATGAAGAATTTAGTGTTTGACTCGGTGGGTTAGATAGAAAGGTATATATATCACTGCAAAGTGTATTTTAGAGCAGATAAGAGTTTATTGTCTTATGGTAATTTAAAATTTAGAGTTTAAAATTCTGTACTTGGTTGTAATGAATAAATTTCCTTTGCTGGAGTTTGGTTTACGAGCTATGTGTTCTTTGTTAGACGAGAGTACAGATCAACATCTTGCTTCTTTATTTGTATGTATCAGTTTTATTATTTTCTTAGTTGGTTTCTTTATGCGTAAACATGGTTTTACCTTGGATAGGTATGTCTCTTGCGTTGTTGGATGTCCAGAGGAGGGAGCAATTTCTCCATCAAAAGTGGCATATGTTGCAAAAGAACTTTGCAACATGGGCTGCTTTGAAATTTCTCTTGCTGACACAATCGGGGTTGGTACACCTGGTAACATTCTGAACTTTGTTCTTTGATTAGTCACTTTATCTTTACAATCATATTATTTTCTTTCCAAAGTTTCGTTCATCCCATTTTGTTTTAAAGATTCTGTATCTGGACCCTCGAACCATTCTTTTAGCTGGTGTTTTGAGTAAAGCATACCATTTGGCACATATTGTACCTCATTGTAGTCATAAATCATTCCACAATAGGATGGAGAGACCCAATACCGAGGCAGATGTTTTAGCCATATTTGGATGGTTCTATTGGACACCCAATATTGGGATGGAAAATGTGTTTATTTCAAAAGAAGGTTATTACCCCTTGTTGACCACACATATGTCGGGTCCTTGGATCCGTCCAAGAATTGAACTCAGGCACTTGTGCTTGATCAATCGAAACCTTATACCATTGTACTAGACAAGGTCCCTAATGATTGGTGTCGATTCATGGGGTGAACTTTTGTGTTTCCTCTGAAGCTTTACTCCCAGAGGCATGTAGGATTATCATTTTTATTGCTTTTCAAACTATCGTATCCGTCTTTGGTTCAGTATTTTTGGCCTTGTACTTATTTTTTTCTGTCTTCCTGTGGAACAGGGACAGTTGTCCCCATGCTGGAAGCTGTAATGGCTGTTGTTCCTGTTGAAAAGCTTGCTGTTCACTTCCATGACACCTATGGGCAATCTCTCTCAAATATTCTCGTCTCTCTTCAAGTAAGCCATCTTAACATGTCAAAATTGCCTCGTGTACAACCATGATTTTTATTTTTATATTTTTCAGAAAGAAAAAGAAGACTCTTTTAAAAATTAAAATATGAATAATAAGTACGAACACACTTAGCGATCTGTCAGCACCAAAGCTGCTTTCATCCAGCTTGATAAACTTCAAACATGTATCTATAATAGAAAAATATGTTAGCTACCAATCCACATTAGCTAACAATTAACGATCTGTCCACATCAAGGCTCACGGTGATGCCAAAAAGCAAACTGTATCTTAAAAACTGCTACTTCCCACAACAGTTTACGGCAATAATTTTGTTACTCAACACCACCCAAATGCCAACAAATTACAACTTCAATAAACTTAAAACTTTTGCTTCCTTTCCCCCACCAAATGTGTCTGATGTTTCCATGAACTCAGAATCACCCACAACGAATTAGCTTACCTACAGTTTGCGGCAAACAGTGTAAAGCAATTAAGTAATGGAGAAAAACATGATTTGTATCTTCAGTCTCGCTTTGTGCATAATTACATCAGTGCAGAGATCGAAAACCATCAGATCCTTCCCTTGGAATAATATTACTGATATTACCATACCATGTGCAATGATCCAAGCTAAAAACTCGTACCTTGTAGACATTAACGTGCAAACATCATACTAATTAATGATTCACTTCATGAGTACAAACCTGTGATCATTTTGTTTTCTTCTAATTCATCCGTAAATTTGTTGCAATGTAATGTATTGCAAACTCATAATCCATTGAACAGATGGGGATTAGCACACTGGATTCCTCGATTGCGGGTTTAGGCGGGTGTCCATATGCCAAAGGAGCTTCAGGCAACGTTGCCACTGAAGATGTTGTGTACATGCTGAATGGACTCGGTGTGAAAACCAATGTGGATTTGGCGAAGCTTTTGACGGCTGGGGATTTCATCAGCAAGCATTTGGGTCGCCCGTCTGGCTCAAAGACCGCGGTTGCCTTGAGTCGAGTCACTGCTGATGGCTCTAAAATATAAGTTGTTTCAGGCCGATAACTTCTACTCGGGCTGTACAAGAAATGTTCATGATCTGCAGAGGCATACGGTAGGAATAAACACTTGACTCTCTTTCGACCTCTCCAAATATAAATTTGAAACGTTGTATTTGTATGATGAATACCATATACGATGTCCGGTGTATTTGCCTTGTTATCTTTTAAAAATAAAGTTATTGCAGTGATGAAAATATGAGGGATGCACATGGTACTAATTTGTGAATTTGCATGAACGTCGTAAGGTAAGGTTGAAAACTGATGCTATAACATAATGGTTGGGTTGGATTGGATGGTGCTCAATGCAATAATAATAAGTAAAACCTTGTTTGATGTGAAACTAGGGATGGAGTCAGCATTTCGAAATGAACATGATTCGACTTATTTTATAAATTGATTCATTATTTTCTGCTGGTGAAAAAGCATTATCGAAATGTCCAAAGTGTATCCCCAGATTCATTAAAACTGTTGATTTCATTCCTAATATTATTTTCAAAGCTATTTTATCCAATTTTTTGTCAACATAAGTCACATGACACATTTTAGACGGTAAAGCTGTCATTTTATTGCCTATAAGCCCTTAACATTATATATATGTTGCAAATTTAACGTTTAATTTACCTTCTAGAGTTAACTCAAACACACTATTTCTTCGAAGAGACTAAGTCCTTTAACTATGAAAACTACCAATATATCATCCAAAGTGTGTCACATGCAAGTCACATGACTTAAATTGACGAAAAACTGAATAGACCAGCTTCTAATCTAATATTAGGGATTTAATTAGTAGATTTTTATTAGTTTAAGGACTAATTTTTTCCGGAAAAATAGTTTAGGAACCTTATTTTCATTTGGGTAACAATTTAGGGACTAAATCGACAGTTCACCCATATAGTTATTGTCTTTAATTTCACATGACTATTAGAAACCAATATTGTATTTCCTATTCTAATTTCCAAAGGGTTTAGGGAACATTCAACTTTCTTTTTTTTTTTCCTTTTTAATTTGCGCGGTTTTATGCTCGTCTTTTGGCAAAAAATAAGAAGGCTTAATTGGATTATTAATCCTTGTGATGATATGGTAGTTAGAAGATAGTTCATGTAGTAAAAAAGCCAGGATTTAAGCCTATGTGGTTGATAGGAGCATATTTAGGCAACTTACTTAGCTTGTTTTCGTGCATCTATGTTGTTAATTCATAGTTGTTTTAGTAGTTTAAGCCATTTTCGTGTGTTTTTAGGTTCATATGGCTAAGGAAGCAAAAAGATGCATTTTGGAGCATTTTGGAGCAAAATTGGGCTTGGAATGGATAGCACATGATTGGAGCCAAAGTGTTGGACGAATTTGAAGGCTTTGTATTCATTTTGGACATAAAACAAAGGGCCTAGCCCATTCTCTCTTAAACCAACCCCAAGGCCATGCATTTCCTTCCAATTCCAAAGCCCACAATCACTTCAAAAGCCATGCAAAGAACCATCCATTCCATCAAAAACAATCCATCAATTCACATGCAAAACCACCATTAACACACATGCACCCAAACAAAGCCAACCTAGCTAACCCTACATGCATTCTTTATGCAACTTTTCATCATTCTACCATTCATTCTTTATTCCACAAACAAGTCACATGCATTTCCACCTTCCTACTTCATCATTTCACCACATTCTCCCTCTTTAACTCATTTCATTATTCATTCACTTTGCATTCATTCAATTCCACCCCACATGCACCCTTTATTCTTCATCATTGCAACCATGGCACATTTACACCAACAAAACAACTCCCATGCCATGGCCTACTCATATTCCCATTTCCTTTCCAACATCTCACATGCATTTCCACCTTCCTACTTCATCATTTCACCTCATTTTCCCTTTTATTTCCACATGCAATTCTTCATCATTGCAACCACAAACACCTTAAACAAATAGCCATATACATCTCCACTCCTCCTATAAATACCCTTGCATTCATTCATTCAAGAATCATCTCATTTCATACACAAACACATCCATTCTTTCTCTCTAGCCGTGAGTTTCTCTCCATTAGAATCCAAAAACCATCTTCCATTTCCATCACTCCCCACTCCATTCCACACTTCCATCCCCCCAACCAACTATCCCTAGACCTTATGCTACAATAAAGAGGAAGATAAGAGGGCCTAAACGTTCATACAATTCAAGTTTGAGTTGTTGGAATGTTTAGGTGTTTCTTTGATTTCAATGTTTAAATTCAATTCTCTTTGTTTTGTACGGAAGAGAAGAGTGCCTAAACGTTCATACAATTCAAGTTGAGTTGTTGGAATGTTTAGGTGTTTCTTTGATTTCAAAGTTATGAGGAACTAAACCCCCTTTAGCTAGGGGGTGATTCGAAACTATGTTTATGTTTGCAATATGAATTGATTAACTTTCGTTGGAATTTCATAAGTTGTGGATTCAATTTGTTTAACCGTTTGATTGATAACTTATTTATGTATGTTTATTGAGAATGTGCGCTTAATTTTCATGCATGAATATGACGCTAGAATATAAGTGAGTTTCACCTAATCGTTATGAACTTATATTCACAAGTAGTGGAGGTTGCTTATAAACAATCGCGTTAAATAAATTCTTGGCATAAGTTTCATGCAATCATAGTAACGAATGCCTCGTCAACACTTATAGTTTTCATTGAACGTAATGATCTTTGATTGTATCTTTATTATGATGTCATGTAAGGAACTTTTGAAGAATGCTTTGGGTTGTCGTATGATGTCATCCAATTCATTAACTTAAGGAAAACTTGACGGTTAATTTAAGCGGACCTAATTAACCCGGGGTGTTGAGAAATCATAATTTATCGAAAGACCAACTGAGAATCAATCTTGTATGCAAGTGTAACATGTGTGGAGAAGAACCCCTTGGCTATTCCATCATCCATATTTTCATCTCATTCATATTTACATTTTGCCTTTAATTACAATTTGTCCATTTAATTTAATCTCGTCCAAACACAATCCCCCCTTTACTTTATTGTCAAATTAGTTAGAAATCAATTTAGTTTGTGTTTTTAAAGCATTTTGAGTCTTTTGGTTTGTCTTAATGTTTTAACGTTTAGTTTCACATTCTTTGAGTCTAGTTTAGTGTTTTATATTGTTTTTACGTTTTTGAGTCAAAATCCAAGTGATTAACAATCCCTCCTAATCCCCGGTCCAGAACGATCCCTACTTATACACTTCACTACAATTGACAAAAAGAGGGTTTAATTTGTGTGCGTATAATTCTCGCATCAAAAAGAGGGTTTAGGGAACATTCAACTTTCTTTTTTTTTTTCCTTTTTAATTTGCGCGGTTTTATGCTCGTCTTTTGGCAAAAAATAAGAAGGCTTAATTGGATTATTAATCCTTGTGATGATATGGTAGTTAGAAGATAGTTCATGTAGTAAAAAGCCAGGATTTAAGCCTATGTGGTGAAGTATGTTGGGATTTATGCCCAAAATTAAAAATTATGTCCATTTTCTGTTAATTATTAGCACGTGAGCCACATTTATTAGACTAAAACAAAACTCTCGGTACACATATTAGGCTAAAACGAAATTCTCCGTTAATTGTGGGCACGTAAGGTTGGCTCACGTGCTAATAATTAACATAAAGTTGACAAAATTTTTAATTTTGTGTATAAATCCTAATTGACTTGGGCATAGGAGCTTAAATCCTAATTTTTCTACCACAGAGGCTATCTTACAACTACCCTATTACCACATGAATTATTAATCCAATTAAGGTTGCGTGTTCGATTCTCGTCGGGTTCAATTCCTGATACCCTTGTAATTTCTTTTTTCATTTATTTTCTGTTTCTTTTCCTTCAATGACATTCAAGGGTCAAGATTGAACGCCATGTATAATCAAGAGGCAGATAATATTAGTCATCTTCAATCCTCCGTTGAAGAAATTAATCAATCAAACAATCAGACATCTCAGTTGAACATCCCTCCTCAAGACTCAAGACAGTAGATTGTAAAGAGGAAACAATGTGAAGGACTATACTAATGTCATAGTTTTCTTGCTTTCCTTTATGTGCACGTAAGAAGACATTTACACAACTAGTTTTAGTGGTTTGACAAAGAGCTCGATGTACACAATTCAACTGGCATGCTTCAAGAGTCAAGTAATTTTTGTACAGTTATAAAACAGTTTGTTACAAGTGTATCAAGTTAGTTGTGTGTGCTAGTGGCTTCATTGTAATTAGTTGTTTTACCTAGGAAAAAACTGTCATTAGAAATTTCTTTATATATACGCCAAAGTGTACCTTGAAATTATACATTGAATGAAAGAGAGTCTCTTTTACAATTGAGATTTTCTTACAAGCTAAGTTTCCTTTATGTATCACTGGCCAACTGCCTTACGTCTTCTTGAAATCTCAATCGTCTTCCGTTTCCATTTTTCTTCAAATTCTTGCTCAAATTTTTCTCTAAATTCTTAATTTCTCAATTGTTGTGTGTTCCTGAATCTTGATTTTCTCAATCTATGGAGTCTCTGTCTGATTCGTCTTCTTCACTCACAAATCCTTCTGTTTCAAACACTAACTTGATGAACACATACACCTCTCTCATCATTCAAAATATTGGAAGCACGGTTCCGATCAAGCTCAAGTGGTCCCATTACCTTCCATGCCATGTGCTCTTTGCTTCAATTTTCAGGCGCTACAAACTCATTGAAATCATTGGCAGATCTGAGCCATGTTTGTTGCATGTGCTTCCTAATCGATCTCTTAGTCTTGAGTTTGAATTGTGGATGTAAAAGATCAAGATCTTTGGATCTGGTTAAACTCCACTCTCTTTGGAGAAATCATTCCCTTTACGGTTAGAGTTTCTTTGTGTCTAAATCTATGGCTAAAGTTGGACTCACAGTTTGGAGGGGTCACTGATGCTCACATTCATTAGCTTCGGTCTCGTCTTCATTCTCGTCAGAAATGATCTTTCACAATCTATGAATATTTGCAGCAAATCAAGGAGATATATGATTCCTTGACCGCCGTTGAAGATTCGGTGTCTTATTGTGACCTAATTGCTACAACACAACATGGCTTGCCTGAGGAGTTTGAGTATTTCATTGACTTAATCAACCTTTGTCTCTCATCTACAACTTTAGATGAACTCCACAATCTCTTACTCACCAAAGAACTCTCCATTGCTCATCGCAAGAAAGTAATTTCCTCT